TCTAAAAATTCTCGAAGCTATCCATATTAAATAATTGTAAAGAAACCTTAATAAAATTAATTATGAATGCTTCAGAAATGTTTTAAAATGTATACAATAGTTAGTTTGGAATGCCAAGGTTTGCACCAATAATTTTTTTTACTATTATTTCGTAAAAAACTCTCCACAACCATACTTAGTTACCTCCCTTAAACGGTGTCAGCGATAACGTTATTCACTCCACAAGAAAGAAATTTAAATTTTCGATGAACACAACAATTCTGTCTTCGACAATAATGAATACTACAATATTTGTCTTGCAGTTAACAATATGCTGATGATGACATTTTGCTAGGTCGAAAGTACTCGGAGTAAAAGAAATATGTATCAACACGCCGATTTTCTCTCGTCCTTCAATAACGACACCAAAAGCTTATTCGTGAATATGAAAGGATCCTATTGAAAATAAGTAAACAGAACGAAAATATCTCAGTATATATATATATATATATATATATATATATATATATATATATATATATATATAGAATTGCATCAAAATGAATCTCACTTGTACACCATTTTTCTGACGATTTAGCTCTTCGGGATAAATTCTCTGGAGCTTGTCAATACTGAAACTTTTGATAAACGTTTTAGTATTGACAAGTATCAAACGTTTTCAGATAAAATATTTTAGTATTGACAAGCTCCAGGAATTTATCCCGAGGACGAAATGGGCATAAAAACGGGGTACAATTTACTTTCATTTTTATGTGATTCATTTCTATGGTCTATAAAAATATATTGGACTCTCTTTTGTGGATTTGTTTTAATATTTTTTGTTGATTGGATTTACTTGGACTACTTACCCATATATATATATATATATATATATATATATATATATATATATATATATATATATATATTAGAAGGACATGAAAATAAGTGGCTTCAAGGTCTGAGAACACTTCATCCAGACGGGCTTAATCACAAATTTAACAACATAGATAGAATTAATATATAACACCACAAATCAGGACCTACCCACACAAGACAGACATACTTGCGGAGATGTTGAGGCCTCACACTTATACTCACATCCTTATCAATATACACACTTACACACATCATATCCTAATGAGCCAAATGATAACACACACTCATACTAATATACACGCTTACACACATCATACTCCCTCACTCCCTAAGAACCAAATAACACGCACACTTAACAGAGACACTTTCCCTTTCCAGGAGCCAATAAAACTATCAAAATGACCAAGGGAATTCAGGGAAGCATGAATCCATCCAGCCTTTATCTTAAATAAGATTAAATAAGAGATTGTTTGATCAATACAATGGCTGACCAAAATTCATGTTAAAAAAATAAAAACAAAAAAAACTACAGACAAAAGTTCATTTTCTCTATCAAGACATTCATTTCTGTAGTTCACTGCTACTAACAAGCAGAAAATTTTTTTCTCCTGATGGTGGCCATGTTGGCCGAAACTAGTCGAGGAATCTAACTGAAATAATAAAAACGAAAAAAATATTAATATACAACCCAGTGTCTAACCTTTTATATATATATATATATATATATATATATATATATATATATATATATATATATATATATATGATGTATGTATGTATGCAATATGTGTGTGTGTACAGAGAGAGGGGATGGGAGTGGACGAAAGACAAGAGAAGCTCCAGAGCAAGCAAGAAAGATAAAGAGAGAAAATATCTGTGCGTAGTTTGAGAGTGAATGAGAAATGAAATAGAAGGGCTCAAAAGAATTACAAGACAGATGGGGAAAGAAAGAAAGAAAGAAAGAAGCTAATAAAAAAGAAAGAAAGAAGCAAATAAAAAGACGACAAAAGAAAGAAAGAAAAGAAAGAAAGAAGCTAATAAAAAAAAAGAAAAGAAGCAAATAAAAAGACGACAAAGAAAGAAAGAAAAAAGAAGCTAATAAAAAAGAAAAGAAAGAAGCAAATAAAAAGACGACAAAGAAAAAAAAGAAAGAAAGAAGCTAATAAAAAAGAAAGAAAGAAGCAAATAAAAAGACGACAAAGAAAGAAAGAAAGAAAGAAGCTAATAAAAAAGAAAGAAAGAAGCAAATAAAAAGACGACAAAGAAAGAAAGAAAGAAAGAAAGAAGCTAATAAAAAAGAAAGAAAGAAGCAAATAAAAAGACGACAAAGAAAGAAAGAAAAAAAGAAGCTAATAAAAAAGAAAGAAAGAAGCAAATAAAAAGACGACAAAGAAAGAAAGAAAGAAAGAAGCTAATAAAAAAGAAAGAAAGAAGCAAATAAATAGCCGACAAATAAAGAAAGAAAAAAAGAAGCTAATAAAAAAGAAAGAAAGAAGCAAATAAAAAGACGACAAAGAAAAAAAAAGAAAAGAAGCTTAATAAAAAGAAAAAGAAAGAAGCAAATAAAAAGCCGACAAAGAAAGAAAGAAAAAAAGAAGCTAATAAAAAAGAAAGAAAGAAGCAAATAAAAAGACGACAAAGAAAGAAAGAAAGAAAAAAAGAAGCTAATAAAAAAGAAAGAAAGAAGCAAATAAAAAAAAAAGACAAAGAAAGAAAAGAAAAAAAGAAGCTAATAAAAAAAGAAAGAAAGAAGCAAATAAAAAGACGACAAAGAAAGAAAGAAAGAAAGAAAGAAAGAAGCTTAAAAAAAGAAAGAAAGAAGCAAATAAAAAGACGACAAAGAAAGAAAGAAAAAAGAAGCTAAAAAAAAGAAAGAAAGAAGCAAATAAAAAGACGACAAAGAAAGAAAGAAAAAAAGAAAGAAGCTAATAAAAAAGAAAGAAAGAAGCAAATAAAAAGACGACAAAGAAAGAAAGAAAAAAAGAAGCTAATAAAAAAGAAAGAAAGAAGCAAATAAAAAGACGACAAAAAGAAAGAAAGAAAAAAGAAAGAAGCTAATAAAAAGAAAGAAAGAAGCAAATAAAAAAGACGACAAAGAAAGAAAGAAAAAAAAGAAGCTAATAAAAAGAAAGAAAGAAGCAAATAAAAAGACGACAAAGAAAGAAAGAAGCAAATAAAAAGACGAAAAGAAAGAAAGAAAGAAAGAAAAAAAGAAAGAAGACAAAAAAAAAAAAGAAAAAGCAATAAAAACGACAAAGAAAAAAGAAAAAAGAAGAATAAAAAAGAAAGAAGCAAATAAAAAGACGACAAAGAAAAAAGAAAGAAAATAAAAGAAAGAAAGAAGCTAATAAAAAAAAAAGAAAGAAAAAGAAATAAAAAAAAAGCCGACAAAGAAAAGAAAAAAAAAGAAAGAATAAAATGAAAGAAAAAGAAAATCAAAAGACGACAAAGAAAGAAAGAAAAAAGTAGCTAAAAAAAAAGAAAGAAGCAAATAAAAAGACGACAAAAGAAGAAAGAAAGAAAGAAAAAAAAGAAAAAAAAGCAAAAAAAGCTAATAAAAAAGAAAGAAAGAAGCAAATAAAAAGACGACAAAGAAAAAAGAAAAAAGAAATAAAAAAAGAAGCAAATAAAAAGAAAGAAAGAAGCAAAAAAAAAAAAGAAAGAAAGAAGCAAATAAAAAGACGAAAAAAGAAAAAAGAAAGAAAGAAAGAAAGAAGCAAATAAAAAGACGACAAAGAAAGAAAGAAATAAAAAGACGACAAAGAAAGAAAGAAAAAAAGAAGCTAAAAAAAAAAAAGAAAGAAGCAAATAAAAGACGACAAAGAAAGAAAGAAAGAAAGAAAGCTAAAAAAAAGAAAGAAAGAAGCAAATAAAAAGACGACAAAGAAAGAAAGAAAAAAAAAAGCTAATAAAAAAGAAGAAAGAAAAAAAAAAAGACGACAAAGAAAGAAAGAAGCTAATAAAAAGAAAGAAAGAAAGAAAGAAAAAAGAAAGAAAGAAAGAAAGAAAAGAAAGAAGCAAAAAAAAAAAGAAAGAAGCAAATAAAAAGACGACAAAGAAAGAAAGAAAAAAAAAAGCTAATAAAAAGAAAAAAAAGAAGCAAATAAAAAGACGACAAAGAAAGAAAGAAAGAAAGAAAGAAAGAAGCTAATAAAAAGAAAGAAAGAAGCAAATAAAAAAGCCGACAAAGAAAGAAAGAAAAAAAAAGCTAATAAAAAAGAAAGAAAGAAGCAAATAAAAAGACGACAAAGAAAGAAAGAAAAAAAGAAGCTAATAAAAAAGAAAGAAAGAAGCAAATAAAAAGACGACAAAGAAAGAAAGAAAGAAAGAAAGAAAGAAGCTAATAAAAAAGAAAGAAAGAAGCAAATAAAAAGACGACAAAGAAAGAAAGAAAAAAAGAAGCTAATAAAAAAGAAAGAAAGAAGCAAATAAAAAGACGACAAAGAAAGAAAGAAGCAAATAAAAAGACGACAAAGAAAGAAAGAAAGAAAGAAAGAAGCTAATAAAAAAGAAAGAAAGAAGCAAATAAAAAGACGACAAAGAAAGAAAAAAAAAAGAAGCTAATAAAAAGAAAGAAAGAAGCAAATAAAAAAGACGACAAAAAGAAAGAAAGAAAGAAAGAAAGAAAGAAGCTAATAAAAAAGAAAGAACGAAGCAAATAAAAAGCCGACAAAGAAAGAAAGAAAAAAAGAAGCTAATAAAAAAGAAAGAAAGAAGCAAATAAAAAGACGACAAAGAAAGAAAGAAAAAAAGAAGCTAATAAAAAAGAAAGAAAGAAGCAAATAAAAAGACGACAAAGAAAGAAAGAAAGAAAGAAAGAAGCTAATAAAAAAGAAAGAAAGAAGCAAATAAAAAGACGACAAAGAAAGAAAGAAAAAAAGAAGCTAATAAAAAAGAAAGAAAGAAGCAAATAAAAAGACGACAAAGAAAAAGAAAGAAAGAAAGAAAGAAGCTAATAAAAAAGAAAGAAAGAAGCAAATAAAAAGACGACAAAGAAAGAAAGAAAGAAAGAAAGAAAGAAAGAAAGAAAAAAAGAAGCTAATAAAAAAGAAAGAAAGAAGCAAATAAAAAGACGACAAAAAAAGAAAGAAAGAAAGAAAGAAAGAAAGAAAGAAAGAAAGAAAGAAGGAGAGTTTTAACATGGACACCAGAGGGCAAGAACAAATTTTCGGAACTGGTAGCAGCAACATCAGTTACAATGACAACAAACGAAAGAAATTATTTGGCAGTCAACGTTGTTAAGGGCCAACAATCGGTCAGTGAGGTCGGATAACAACAACAAAAACGCTTGTGCCACTAATCTTTCTGGAATGTTGCATATAGACTTTGCTAGCTGAGTCGGCTGTCAAATTTTGAAAGGGGCTAAGTTCAAAAAAGATAATACATAATTTACGCAGTGTTCAAGAGTACGTGAAAATGGTAGAAGAAAAAAATCCTGGTAGCCTAAAGAAATAAAAATCTGTCCGTGTCAGCAAGTATAATGTAAATGGTAATGGTAAGATTAGCAGTTTCCTTATAAGGCAACATTGCATTCATTGGTCCTGCAACCAGTATTACTCGAGTTACACTTTTCTTCACTCCCTGGCCACCGAATTGGGATCAAAGTGTAGTATCTGTCCTCCTCATCTCTAATGGTAATGATAACATTAGCCGTTTCCTTATAAAGTAATATTCTACATTCATTGGCCGAGCAGCCAGTGCTACCCGAATTATACCTTTCTTCTATCTCCGGCCATCAGACTGGGATCAAAGTGTAGTATCTGGTCTCCTCATCTCTAATGGCAATGATAGCAATAGCTGTTTCCTTATAAGGCAACATTCTACGTTCATTGACTGAGCAGTCAGTGCTAATTGAGGTACGCTTTTTTTCACTCACTGGCTTCGAACTGGGATCAAAGTGTCGTAACTGTTCTCCTCATCTCTAATGGTAATGATAATATTAGCCGTTTCCTTATAAGGCAACATTCTGTATCCATTGATTGAATCGCCAATGCTACTGTCGGTTGAAATTTATTAAATCTTTCTCTTATAATAATTTTTCAGGAAAATATGTTTCTTAAGTCCATTAATTTCACTCGCTGTTTCCAGTATTGATGGTAATTTCCTTCCTAACTTTTTGTTCGATGTATTGTGGAATGTCAACGTCTTTATTATTTAATTATTTTCTCCTCGAGTCATTCATTTTAGTCGCTGGTGTTTTTAACAACACTCAAGCGATGTTCGTTTTTGATTTTGTCGACTGCACAGAATATTAGGGTCATTTGGGCAACGTCTCTGAGAATAGGAGAATTATGATGCAATTCACTCCCCCAGAGATTTGGAAACGGCATGCTGTACTGCTTGGCATTCGCACCGGAAGCTCTAATACGAACATTTCAGAGTATTTGGGTGTCAATCTGAGGACAGTGCAGAAGATTCGGAAAGTTTTGGATAGTATAACCAGTCAACATCATGGTGTTTGAAGTGATGGCGACGTTATGCAGAGGATTCGGAAAGAGTTGGATTAATCTAATGGTGATTACGAAGGTACGGCAGCTCGGAAAATTCATTATGTGCTCAAAGAATTTCAGCTGCCTTTCCGGATTCTGAGTAGAAATGTTTCTTTATTCTTCTTGTTGCTTACTCGCTACATCCATGAAATTCTCAGTATCCTTCTGTGGAATAACATTTCTGCGGCTCCCAATTTCCTCCTCATCAGCGGCGAGATTGCCCAGCATTCCCTACTATATAAGAGGATGGATATTCCATAGTAATCCAGCACTAACAGAGGATAGAAGATGCAGCACCGAAGTCTGAAGGGACATTGCGTTAGCGAAAGATGCCTTCCAAAGACTAAGCAAAGTATTACGAAAGAGGAAAATTTCATTGGCGACAAAAAAAGAGAACTGTACTAAAATGCTATGTAATATCAGTAATCCTATATGGCAGTGAATGTTGGACCATCTCATCACAGATGCAGACGTGAGACAACAGAAATGTGGTTCTACAGAAGGATGCTGAGAATATCATGGAATGAGCATGTAAGCAACGATGAAGTTTTAGATAATATGGAAACAATAAGGATACTTATATATAGCATGAGAAAGAGACATTTGATATTTCTAGCGCATATAATGAGGAAAGACAGCTTGGAAAATTAGATACTCTCAGGACATATTGTCGACAGAACGGGGATTAGGAGAGATAGAGAAAGATAAATTTATTTGGGGCTAAAACGAATAGGAAAATGGGTGCGACCATGATTGCCAGCATCCTCAAGGGACACGGCACATAGAATAATAATAATAATAATAATAATAATAATAATAAGAAGAAGAAGAAGAAGAAGAAGAAGAAAAACAACAAAAACAACAATAATATGAGTAGATATGTTCGCCTATCGTACAGTCAACACTCCTATCCGATCTTTTGAACAGGTGTAGTGGTTCATTTCCGGGTTTCCTGTTTAGGATTAAGATTGGGTTTCCGGTTCCTGCTAAAGTCTTTTCCTTCTCTTTCGCTTTGCCCCTTGCGTCTTAGTGGCATTGTCTTTTTTCTTGTAACAATCTACCTGAGTGGCTCTTGGGCCTTCTACAGGTGAATATCATTGTAAAAAAAAATAAAAAAATAAAAAAGAAAAAAATCTTTCCGTTTTTCAGCACCCTACTTAACTTTTCGAAAATTTCTTACGCTAGTCCAATGTGAGTTCGGATCTCGATGCCACATTTTCAATACTCTGTGAGAACACTTTCCAGGTATATGAACTTTTGTATTTGCTTGTCTGCTCTTTAAAAATGCAGCCAATGTATGACAGTTTCGTCACAGATGAAGAGACTCGAATTGACAAGAATGTACTTCTACTGAGAAAAGCTATGGACAAAATAAATGCAGCAATAATTTTGTTTTTTATTTTAGTTCCCATTTTTTTCATTATACCCTGTGATTTTTTATTTTCTTTCCATGAACTAAAGATCCAGGTGTCCGTCCCAGAGAAACAGACGTATACCCCACCTCTCGTGACCGGTGGAGTAAGGGCGAAAGGCAGAAACGGATGTTATGGCAGAAACACAATCGGGCCTAGCCAGGCCAGCCAAAGGCGAAGAACAAATGAAAATAAACGCAAAATAAACGTGTTATTCATTTCGAGGGCCGGTCATTAATAAGCAAGAAACCTATGGAAAACATGTAAGTGTTTTGATAGGGTCGAAGAGCGGATGGATAGCCTGTGATACTTTGCAAAGTGACCCGGATATAACGATTATTTTGCACACCGTCTCGCAATTCCACACGTTCGAACGATTCCGCAAACACCACGTCAGGAGGTGCGACCTGCATTTCAGAAGTTTTGAGATTGAGATCTTTTTCAGGAGAGACATTTATTATTATTAAAATAAGTACAAAGCATTAATCACCTTCAAAGTAGGATCCTCTGACTTCAACGCACTTGGCATAGCGTTGCAGCAACTTCGCAAAGTCCCCAAAGAATTCATCCAAGAAGTTGTCCAGGATCCGTGTCACAGCCTCCTTCATGTTCTCAATGTCTTCAAAAGCGAGATTCTCCTTCAACTTGAAGCACAAGCAAAAGCCACAGAGAGCAAGGTCGGGACTGTAGGGATGATGAGGAACATTGTTGATACCCATCTCTCTCTCTCTCTCTCTCTCTCTCTCTCTCTCAACACAAAAATTTATTGAACCTTACGAATGGTCGTCCCGACTGCATTCTGTAAACTCGTCAGCTGTGACAACCAGTGTTTAGTAGGGTCTGTTCAAAGAGCCACAGGTCAGCTTATTAGATGTATATCGTAAAATTACAGTAATCTAGGACAATAAAATCCTTCCTGAAAAAAGCCTCAAAAGCTTCTGGAATATTCCTAGTATGTTATACATAGAAATGTATTCATAGGGCGCGATTGGGTAGCAATGTTGCATATAAGAGGTGCATTCCAAAGTTTGGAAACTTTTTTCAGGAGAGACATTTATTCATTTCAGAGAAGTACAAAACTATTAGGTTGGTGCAAAAATAATGACGTAATAATGTCGTTTGTTGACGTATTTTTTAACGTCAAAACGACATTCTTACGTCATTATTTTTGCACCAACCTAATATTTACATTATTCGGACTACTGTCCTCATCTTTGTCGCCATATTTATTACAACGTTTCAAGGACACATGGCACAGTGGATAAAAGCTTTGGTTAGATCCAGTGACAGAACCCAAAGAGTGTGAGTTCAATACTCGGTTAAGGCAGGGGAGAACTTGGAGAGGGGAATTAACACAAGATAACTGATTACTGACATCCATTAAACATGGCACGTGGAACTAGAACAGTCTACCCCAATGAGCGAAATAAAGGCTTCAGTTCGACATTCCAACCACCTGAAGAAGGCCGGAGCGTACAACGGCCGAATAAATATGGTGACAAAGATGCCTTCACGTTCCGACTGTATTCTGCAAACTAGTCAGATATGACAAGCAGTAATTAGTTGGGTATGTCCAATTAGCTGTTACAGCCGTCCCCTTCACTCTGGAATAACAACAATTGGCTCGTCAACTTATTAGATACAGTGTAACCCGGATAAAAGAGAGTTGTCGGGACCGGAGAAGAAGTCTTTTATATCCGGGTTTGGTCTATTTTGTATACATTAACACAGGCTCTAATTTGGGACCAGAGAAAATCTCTCTTATATCCGGGTTTCTCTTATATCCGGGTCTCTTATATCCGGGTTACACTGTATATAGTAATGATATATTAGAAAGACAGTAATCTAGCACGGGTAGAATTGCCTCTCTTAAAAAACCCTAAAAACTTCTGCAATAAGTCTCGTACATTCTCTCTCTCTCGCGCACGCGCTCACACACACAGACACACACACACACACACACACACATCTACACACATAGACGAATGTATTGATATTTGCAAACCATGCCAAGATTATTTTTTACGGATTATCAATCTATTGTAAATTATTTAAAGCCATAAAATGTTTTTAGATTGTAAGAATTATTGGGAGTTAACTCTGACCACGGTTTTACTGGTGGTAGAGAAAAATGACGTAATGCCCAGCCACCGGTTGATCGGTGGGTAAACACTTGTAACTATTTTTATATCTACTGTGAAACATTACATACCAATTATTTGTGAAGTTTGACCCAGGAGC